CGCCGCCGACGGCATTGCGCCGTTCCTCGACCAACTCATATATTCTCTCGGCAATTTTAACATGACTGAACATAAACATGATATTCTAAGCATAATAACACATAATGGTCGGAAAAACTTGAACATAACATGCAATAGAACTTGGGTGGCCGTGGCGCGCACTACGTGTGCGTCCACCCCCTTCGGCCAAAATACTAGTAACATGATAATTTCATCCGAACACTTAAACATGATATCTCATAATAACGCTAAACATGCTGGCATTGGTCGGCAAAATATGAACTTAACATAACGGACATGCATGCACGGCCCGTGGCGCGTTATACGCGCATCCACGTTAACCTCGGCCGAACATCTCTTTAACATGATTAAATTCTACCGAATACATGAGTTCATATAAGCATATTTTCTCAAATGAAAGCTAAAAGTGCTAGGGTTACTCGGTTAATTCTTTGAAATTAATAACATGATTCGGTGAAGTTACTTAACATGTATTATGACGCACGGCTTCGCATAAAAACACGCATGCATGAACGTTTAAACATTTATTCTCACATGAACACGATATACTTGGAAACTTACCTCTTGTCAAGCCTTCGGAGACTAACTCTCGTGTTCTCGGTCGTTGAAGAAACCCCTCGTGCGGTGCGCGTGCGATGGCTTGGCGTTGCGTGCGGCTCTCGGAATACCCTCGCCCAAGGCTCGCGAACAACTCTTCGCACCCACTCCGATAACTCACTATACTCTCTCCACAACACACACACACTCTCGGCAAAAGACTTAGGCGAGGAAAAATTAGGACAACTTCCCCAACACACACTTATAACATGAGGCCGAAAGTGGGCGGAGAAATAGAGGGAAAAATTGGTCTCATGCACGTGAATGATGGCGGAGGAAATGATGGGGAAAAATACTTGTCTTATGCACGCATAATGCCAACACAATGCACGGAAAAAAAAAATTAAGGAATCACGGGCAAGAAGACAAAAGGAGCGCACGGATACTCATGGATATGTTGGGCGCGGATTCTTGCGGATGGTGCACACGGTTTTCATGGTCCGGACTCCCTTGAACACTCCGCCGGCTAGAGGACAAGGCGCACGGATACTTATGCCAGCCTGGACAAAAATGGACGCACGGACTACACACAAGCCTCGAACATTCCGCCCACCTTGCTCGCGCGGCGTTCACGGACGCGGGTGGCGCACGGACCTCGGACGAACACGCGCACTCGGTCTCCATTACTTGATGATGGGTACGGGTCCTTAGACGAGCGCACACGCACATGGCACTCGCACGGCGTGAACACTTGACACGCACGATACACGCGTACACATGAGCTCGAACCGATCATGCACACACACGGCATCGAACATGAACTCGGGATAAAATCTGAACCATTTGCTAATCTCGTGATTAAATTAAATTAATCACTTAATTATGTTTAATTATCTAATTAAACATAATGTTAAATTACCAAAATTATTTCGAACGTAAACGGTACGTCGAAAATGGTTCCGGTAATTTGACTGAAATAACTGAAATTAATGAACTCCGAAAAATAATATCGGAACTGAAATATTATTATACTGATAAAAGTCGGGATATTACATCATTAATTCCAAACTCGTTTATTATATAAACGAATTGGAATTAAATCTAAAACTCATTCGGTTACTGAAATAATTAAACCTATATTAAGTCGACTAAAAGTCAAACTTAAAACTGGGACTCAATAACTGGCTCGAAACTTATCTTTGACGACTAATCGAATATTTTCAAATTCGATTAATACGTCATCACTGAAATAATTAATCTCGAACTCACTATGTGGACTGAGATTAATCACTATCATTGACTCGGTTAATGAATAAAATTAACCGGAAATATTTTCGACTTAACGTCGAACTTGGAATTCAACTAGCTGAATAACTTAGACTTGAACATGAACATGAACATTTATTAACAAAGGCTAGCTTATATTTGAAAGCTAGTATCTTTTCTTTATTAGTAAAATACGGGGCGTTACATAAACCCAGTTCAGAGCTAAAATTTGATGCTAGAGGGTGTATATTTCTGAAAATAATATTAGAAGTAACGGTTTTCAGTGTATAAGAGTCACTTAGCCGGGTATCCCTAGAGGCTTGAAGCTGGACCGGAGCAGTATAGTTTCGGAAAGTAACAACCTTAAGAGTCAGTAAATCGTGTATCTTGTCAGTTAAATACTCTATGTTATAGTTAGCAAAGCTTAAGATCAGTTATTAGTATAGTACTTGCGGGACCAGTTGATACTGGAATAGCCATATATAGTACCAAGTCAGAAGCCAACATCCATGAGTTAAAGTCGGCGTATAATAGTTACTAGCCGGGTTAAATATGGAGATCTGAAATACAAATAATTTGTCCAAATTTACCTGGGAACTTGAAGCCAGACCTTATCAGAGCTCAGTAAGACAGTAAGTATCAGTCTAAGTTCTGAGATTATCAGTTAAATCTCTCGGGAGAACTTCTAGAAGCCAAGTAAGAATTATCCAGTTAAGGATGGTCTGTCTAATAAGACAAGACTTGAGGTTTATCGCAGGAGAGATTATTTTTAAGTGATTTTTTATTGAGGTTTATTTGACCTCAGGAAAAGTGAAAATTATCGGATACATCGTGTCGATGTACGACACTTCTTTCATTCATGACGGAAAGACTAATCAACAGCAATAGACAACGTCGTGGCAAAAAAACTGGAGCCTTCCATATGAGGACGCACGTCGCAAGAAGAGAATGAAGCCATATCTGATTCATAGTACACCAGGAGATCACGGATGTTGGTGTTATATACTTAAGCTTTGCTTTAGTGGATATTACACTTGTTA